AAGCTCCTTGCCAAGGCAGGATCACCTAGGGCAGGTTGCACAGGAACGCATCCAGAAGGGTTTTGAAGGTCTCCAGAGATGGAGACCTCTTTAGGCAGCCTGTTCCAGTGCTCCGTCACCCTCACAGTACAGAAGTTTTTCCTCATGTTGAGGTGCAACTTCCTGTGCTGCAGTTTGTGCCCATTGCCCCTCGTCCTGTCACTAGGCACTACTGAAAAAAGACTGGTTCCATCCTCCTGACAGCCACCCTTCAGATATTTATAGACATTGATAAGGTCCCCTCTCAGCCTTCTCTTCTCCAGACTAAACAGCCCCAGGTCTCTCAGCCTTTCCTCATACAAGGAAAGATGTTGCAGTCCCTTAATCATCCTCGTAGTCCTCAGTTGGACTCTGTCCAAAAGTTCCCTGCCTCCCTTGAACTGGGGAGCCCAGAACTGGACTCAATACTCCAGATGAGGCCTCACCTGCGCAGAATGGAGGAGGAGGATAGCCCCTCTCGATCTGCTGGTCACACTCTTCTTAATGCACCCCAGGACACCATTGACCCTCTTGGGGGGGCACATTGCTGTCCCATGGATAACTTATTGTCTACCAGGACTCCAAGGTCCTTCTCCATGGAGCTGCTTTCCAGCAGGTCAGCCCCTAACCTGTAATGGTGCATGGGGTTGTTCCTCCCCAGGTGCAGAACTCTGCACTTGTTAAATTTCATGAGGTTCCCCTCCAAACCAACTCTCCAGTCTGTCCAGATCCCATTGAATGGCAGCACAGCCTCCTGGTGTATCAGCCACTCCTCCCAGTTTTGTATCATCAGCAAACTTGCTGAGAGTGAAGATGTTGAACAAAATCAGACCCAATACTGATCCCTGGGGAACACCACTAGCTGCAGGCCTCCAAGTGGACTCTGCGCCACTGACCACAACCCTTTGAGCTCTGTTGCTTAGCTAGTTCTTGATCCGTCATCACAGCACCTTGAATACTGTTTTTGAGGCCCTCACTACAGGAAGGATATTGTGGTGCTGGAGCGTGTCCAGAGAAGGGCAACGAAGCTGGTGAGGGGTCTGGAGAACAAGTCTTATGAGGAGCGGCTGAGGGAACTGGGGTTGTTTAGTCTGGAGAAGAGGAGACTGAGGGGAGACCTCATTGCTCTCTACAGCTACCTAAAAGGGGTTGTGGTGAGGTGGGTGTTGGTCTCTTCTCCCAAGTAACTAGCGATAGTATGAGAGGAATTGGCCTCAAGTTGCACCAGGGGAAGTTTAGATATTAGGAACAGATATTAGGAACAATTTCTTTACTGAGAGAGTGGTCAAACATTGGAACAGGCTGCCCAGGCAGGTGGTGGAGTCACCATCACTGGACATATTCAAAAAGGACATGAACGTGGCACTTCAGGGCATGGTTTAGTGGGCATGGTGGTGTTGGGTTGATGGTTGGACTTGATCTTAAAGGTCTTTTCCAACCTTAATGATTCTGTGAGCATACCCTTTCAGGGAAAAAAACCCAAACATACAGCTCACCTTTGCAAAAGTTGTTCTTACTACAAAGAAAAATTAAGACAAGCACTGAATGCTAATTTATCTTTCAGATAATGGATGTATGGGAATATATGTGTATTTTTATTAATTGCTTTTTACAATTATTTTGTTGGTCCCCATATGATTTCTTTAGAATCATGAGTATTTACTGACCAATACGTAAGTAGCACTGGCCTTAATACCTGATGTTGGTGCAAGTTTTAGAGGTCTCAGTAGGTTCTGCACTATGGTAAACTTCCTCTTGCTAATTGGACCACAAATTAAAAAATCAGTGCTAGACACAGAAGCTGTGTTTAGGATTGTTTGTGGTTTTTTATTTCTCCTTGTGTTTTTCTATCATTCTGTATTCAAGAAATTGGACAAGCTCCTAATTTATTATAACCAACGTTTTCTGTAAAGACAGTCCAAAGAATATTACAAATTAAACACTTTTTATTTTACAAAATCATTTAGCTCTTTTTCTGTTTGTCTAGTAAAATATTAAAGGTGGGAATATTGGTTAATAGACTCTGCAAATGCTACACTGGCTGAAGCTAATCTTCCAGGCTCTGTAAACTGAGTATAAAATGTTAAATGACTGTCAGCAAATGAAGCATTATAAATAGCAATGTACACCGGTTTTCTGTAGGGGTTAAGGAATATAGAAGAGGCAAGGTAATGGGGATTTACTTTACAAATTCCATCAAGTTCAGTGAAAGGAAATTAGCTAATAAAAGGCTTGCAATAATATTAAAATCCTTTCTCACAGAGATTCCTGTGGAACTCATACTGTAAAGATACTAGAAAACAGGCTGAAAACCCTTGGTTTTGATGTCACCTGCACTGACAATTACAAGTAAGTGAAAATCCTTCATTAATGTGGTGTATGTGCAGGAGAACTTCATCTGTTTTAAATGGTTTCTTACCTTCCAATACTTATGTGCCATTAATGTTGTATCTTCTGTAACAGACTAGTATGTTGGAGGAGTGATGTCACATTTTTCAGACTTAGCATTTTTCGGCCGTGAATTGAGCAAAACACTACACCATATTATGTAATTGTATAATTAAGTGGAACATTGTACTTACCCAATGTCAGACACAGAAGATGGCCTCATGTATTCTACTTCACAGTAAAACCTTTATTTGGATTGAAAATCTAAACCACAGTTAAAAACACTATTGAATGTCTGCAGAATTACTAGTTACTCCCAGTAGTATTCACAGCTCTAATTATTCATGGTAGATTGTAAGATAAATATAAATTAAGGAAAGTTTTAGACATGATAATACTGTTGGGTTCATTTTTTTTTTTCCGTTTGTTTACCTCAGTTTTCTGCCTGAAAGATGCTAAATAAAATTATGTCTTCACAGGTCTGTTATGTTCTTACTCTGCCTGGATTATCCTGATGATTCTAAGTGTACCCTTTCATCGTAAGTAAAAGAAGTTCAATCCATCCTCAGTGTCATTACAACCAAATAAATAATGCAGAAGGCAACAGTTCAACAGATTCTACCTCTATCATCTATTATGTATCACCCATATGCAATATAAAGTATTCTTGAATTTATTACTTAATGTGTATTGAGAAAGCCGTTTCTATCTACAAATTGTGCATACCTGTCTGTGAGCACTTGCTATTCAAAATTAGGTGTTCATCAGTTCTCATCGATCACACAGTCACACTGTATATCACTGATGGTATGAATGACGTTTGTGAATATCAATGTTTTGATGCAAAATCTATTACAAATTTGAAATTGCTTTCATTAATATTCTTCCTTGAATAATTAAATTGTAGATCAAATGGCAACAGGTCTAAAGGACATTTCTCCAGCTACTGGAACTTTCAGTTCCAAATTTTGAGAAAGTTTTTTATTAAGCTTCCATTTTATGTGCAAACCCGATTTCTAATTTTAATGTATTTACCTTGGACCAGTAGGTTATCTGCAGATTACATCCAAGATACAACTTTCTTAATTAGCAAGCATTGCTCCCAAACTAGATCTTAATAGTTTCCCTTCCTATCCATATTTTTCTTTAATATCTAGAGAGGATTACATTCATTTATGATATGTTTCAGTGAATTTACAGTAAAGATGACTGTTTTCAATTGTGATTAAGTTTCTTAATCTATATGCTGTTGCACCTATAGGGACACATTAAGGGACTTGAATGTCTGAATATGAAAACTTCCTCACAGTTTGGAAAGTTGCAGGATGCATAAAAGCTGTTCTCTCGTTATATTATTTTTGTGCATAATCCATACATTTGGCCACATCCTATCTCCTACTGTCCTTTCTGCCCAAATTGAAGCACCTGCAAATCTTCTGTACGTTAATACCTATGTAATACTGCAATGATAACTTCTGCTCTGAAAAACCCGATTTACTGTCCCTGATTACGGCAGCAGAGCGGCGCGACTCCTGCTTGCTTGCCTCTAGTTGTGTGGCAGTAGTGCTCCATGTGGTACAGAAAAGGAGTTGTGTACCACTTTCTGTAGCACATGTTCAATTTTTAATACAACCTTACAGAGAAAGTGGGTGTTCCCTCTTCCTGCTGGCCACTGAAATCTTTTACTCATCTTTTCTTGTGACAACATTTATTCTTACATCCAAATTATATCCCACCACGAACCTATAAATGTGTGATGAAAACAGTGGCATTTTCGATACCACTGATACCTCCAGACCCCTTCTAGGTAATAGATCATAGAACAGGCTTCCAGGCCTGTTAAGGCATTTGTTTGTTACTAGATACCACTTGCATGGTGGATGAAAATAGGGTTTCCCTGTTCTGCCAGTGAACGGTGAGGCTTTTGTTCTTGTGTCAAAGGAAAATACAGTTGTCTCATGCGAAATCACAGCTGTGAAAGTGGTCACAGTGCTAACAAACTGGAGGAAAAAAGCACTTTATAGGACTTAAAAGAAAATATTGTGAACTCTTAATGAAGATTTTTCTCTTCTCCCAGGTTTTAAACCATTTCCCTCAAAGTTTTGTGATGTGGGTACATTCCTCAGTTGAGGAAATCCAGATGAAAGGCATTTTGGAAACCATTAATGTCTTTTTCTTTCACCTAAGGGATGAGCATACCAGTTCTCCAGTATTACCACATAGTGCTTGCAGTATGTAAGCAGGGGAGCAGCCACCCCTTCCTTTCCATCCATGTCAGTACTTAAATTAACGTGATCATTATCATGTTCTAAGCACCAGTCTCATACTCTCCTGGGGTTACTACTAAGCAACTCAGCTGTTATCATCCTCCTTAGGAAAATTATCCTTGCTGCTTTCCTTCCTGGGCCTTCTATTCCCTCCTGTATGCATGGCAATGTAATAGCCTTGATCCACTTCATATCTATGCTATCCCTAATCAAGACAGATCTTCCCAATCTGAATGCTAACTATCACTGCCTCTCCCTGAAATTTAAGTAGCTAAAATACTTCAAGCCAATGAATACTTACACTTTTCCCCAAATTACTTACTTCTCTGCAATAGATAGTACCTCCACTGAAATTAGCTGCCCTTTTAGAAAGAGCCTTAAGCAAATGTTCATAAATTATTTGATGATTATCTTCTAGATCTATTTCCTCTGTGGATGGATCGCCGCTCTCTGATGGTCCATTAAGTGACATGGGAACAGTTTGGTCAGTAGTGGTATCGCTACCAAGAGCGTGTATCTGTTAAGAAAAGGCTTCCTTTGCTTGGTGTGTGCTCAGTGTACACGTGTTGCCTTTTCATACTTCCATAATAAATACTGAGACTAGGCATGGAGGCTCCATTGCATCCCTTTCACAATGGCTAATTGCTGTTACCAGACTGATAACTGGCTTCTCAGCCTCTAGAGAATAATGTCCCGAGCCCAAAAATATCTGAGTTGTGCAAGTGACTATTTTGTCACAATTCCCATTACATCAGCGGAGTAGGGCTGTGTCAAAGTAGCAGAGGGATGACCTAAAAGGTGCTATAATTTACTTGTGGCCTCTTGGGTAGTGGTTGTGCCCCTTAACTCCTCTCCAGATTTGAAATATGGTCCTGCTGAGTCAAAATTTAGACAGGCTTGTTGACACCCTGATGTTTGAAGAAAACGTGTAAGTAAAAAAATACCCACTAGGTGGCACAGGCGGTTTACAAACATAAGCTGAAAGGAAGCCAGATGCAACTATTAGTAGTGGTATTCATTACTTGCATTATTGCAATGTCAGAGAGACTTGGAAATGGATCTGGACACTGCTGTATCAAGTGCTGTAAAGCTATAGACCTCTAGGACCACTGGTCTCTAGAAAGAGCCCTATACAATCTCAAGCATAAGGCCGGAGGCAGTAAATGGATGTGGAGAGACAAGGATGCTGGTGTGTTTCCAGGGTTTTGCACGCAGATATCCTGTTTATAAAATCATGACAGCCGAAGAGAACCTGGTGGCGAGCTCTTACAAAGAAACTTCTAGCTTAGCACTTGGACTGCAAACTTCATCCTTGGCAACAAACCCCTGATATTTAAAAGAATGCTAACTCAGCTCTGTGCTGTGAACATCCTGTTTGTTTTCTTTTCTGTAGATCTGCACCAGCAGCACAAAGAGGACCTATATCTTCAGACAGAGGAGGCAGCTGGAACAAGCTCATGTTTGTTTCTTTTGTGGGCTTTTTGTTCAGATTTGCTTCAGTGTACTAAGTTAATCAACTGAATCCATATCCTCTGCTTGCCTTAGCTGGCTATAGATTTGGCTTTAACTAATTTCTAACTGCAATTTCACCCTAGTTCTGGGCCTGGGAAACCTGCATATTAAAACCCTGCATATTTCTATCTAGATACCAACTACTTTTAGTAAAAAAATTCTTCTACTGCTGCTAGAAAGCTCACCCTTGACTTCCTTTTCTTGGCAATCCCAAGCACAAATACAGGCTGGGTGGAGAATGGATTGAAAGCAGCCCTGCCAAGAAGGACTTGGGGGTGTTGGTTGATCAGAAGCTCAGCGTGACCCAGCAATGTGCACTTGCAGCTCAGAAAGCCAACCGTATCCTGGGCTGCATCAAAAGAAGTGTGGAGAGCTGGTCAAGGGAGGTGAGTCTGCCCTTCTACTCCACTCTGGTGAGACCCCGCCTGGGGTACTGCGTCCAGCTCTGGAGCCCTCAGCACAGGAAAGACATGGACCTGTTGGTGCGGGTCCAGAGGAGGGCGACCAAAATGATCTTTTCCACTGTCTCACCTATTGTGTCTTGTACCAGGTGAGCAATCTAAGCTCTCTCCCATCTGAACTCATATTTCCCCTTCCCAAAAAGGGATGGAACACCTCTCCTATGAGGACAGGCGAAGAGAGTTGGGGTTGTTCAGCCTGGAGAAGAGAAGGCTCTGGGGAGACCTTATTGCAGCCTTCCAGTACTTGAAGGGGGCCTACAAGAAAGCTGGAGAGGGGCTTTTTACAAGGGCATGTAGTGATAGGACCAGGGTAATGGTTTTAAACTGAAAGAGGGTAGATTTAGATTAGACAGAAGGAAGACATTTTTTACAATGAGGGTGGTGAGGCACTGGAACAAGTTGCCCAAAGAAGTTGTTGATGCCCCATGCCTGAAAGTGTTCAAGGCCAGGTTGGATGGGGCTTTGAGCAACCTGGTCTAGTGGAAGGTGTCCCTGCCCCTGGCAGGGGGGTTGGAACTAGATGGCCTTTAAAGGTCCCTTCCAACCCAAACTATACTATGATTCTATGAATAGAAGAAATCCATTGCTATTTCCTCTTATCTTTATTCTCCAGAATTAGACTGAGAATAATACTTCCTGTTCACATATTTCAGAAAGAAAATTAAAACTAGTCCTGTCATACATCTCCTTCACAGCTTACTTGTTCATAAAAACAATCCTAGCATTTGGGCCTTGGAAGCTAGGCGTTCAGTTACTGTTTTGGGAAGGGGAAATATGAAATCAGATGGGAGAGAGCTTAGATTGCTCACCTGGTACAAGACACAATAGGTGAGACAGTGGAAAAATTAAATTAATTTTCCTAAGTGGTCCAGTGCTTGGGCCAAACTTACCTGAAACTATCGTCCAGTGAGATTCTGGCTTGCATACTTGCATACAGTATTTTACCACATACTATCAATTGCTTCATCATCCACGGATGTTCTTCAGCTGTCTCTTTCCTGGCCACTGGATAGCAAATAGTCAGAAATATCAGGTCTAGAACGTTCCACATGTTTTCCACCATGATGTGATGGCTGATCACCATGATGTGATTTATGACATATCAAATTCAGATGAGAACCTGCCAAGTCATCTGCCTGCTTGCAGTGAACTCAGTTAGCATGCTTCAGAATATATTGAGGAGAGAACAGATGCCGTCTTGAAGGTCTCTTGAGTTACTTCTGTGATCTAAGTGTTCCAGCTAGATGCTTCTCTAAACCACCAAGACACCCAGCTGCCAACATCCTTTCATCCTTTACATCTTTTCAGTCATGTTGTATGTTTGAAAGATAAAATATCTAAAACATGTTGATGCTGCTTATTTGTCTGGCTTCCATTCCTATAACAATCTTTAACTTGATTTTAATGCAAATCCCTTTATACATACATAGCTGCATTTGCCTGTGTCACAGCTGGAGTTAGGCTCCAGCTTGAAGGATTTTTGTGTCTCAGACACTTGCAAAAGTACTGAAATTGGAAGTTACAGACCTTTGAAAATCTGGGCTGTGTTACGCCTCAAAATTTTTCCCTAACTATGCTGAAACATTAGTCCTTTGATTAGTTCCTTCAGCATCCTCTTCATTTTTATTGCTGTTTGATGCTGTCCTTTAACAGCAGCTGCCAGAATAATGAGAGGTATCTGTCTGTAACACAGACACGTCTCATAACTAAACACAAGCAATTTTGATCAGTCTTCTGCTTGTCCACAGCAGGTCACATCATGATACATTTGGGACCGCAGGCTGTAGGGACAGTGCAGCTGGGTGTCCAAGCCATCGTTCGGTCTAGTGTTGTCCTACCCACCGACCGGTATATTATAGTGTGTGCGGGATTCAGAGAGCAGCTGAATACCATTAACAAGCCGTATGCCTCTTAGGCAACTTCCATCCACAAGCCAAGCATCCCAGCTGGCCACCTTTTCCTTTCCAGTCTATGAAAGCTTTCCAGCCTCTGGATGCAATCCACTCCAGCGGTGCAGTCAGTGCTGGCCGTTACATATGATACCAAACACACTGTAGGAAGTGCTGAATAATTGTTTCGGAAAAAAAAAAAGCAAAATACAAAGTAGGATAGATATGACTCAAATAATTTGAGGTTGTTTATTGCATAACCTTATATCAAGAACAACACACTCATAAACCTCTTGCAGTGTTTTCTTATTTCTAATGTTCTTGCCACTTTTCCCGTTACTTCGACTCCGTAGCAAAGACAGCAGATTTTTTTCCAATATCTTTTGAGTAAAGTGTCTCAAGCTTGCTGGAAAGGTTGGGAAGATCCATAAAGATTTTTAGCTAACCAACTAATACAGCCGGGGGAAAAAAAAAAAAGGCGGCAAAGTTTTAGATACATAGGCTTCCTGAGATCTTAACGCCAGTACATTTCAAGCTGAGTGTGGATCAGTTGTCTGAGTTTAATATAATGGTTTTAATCTGTGCAAAAGAACAGTGTTACTGGCATCTTGGAAGCAGAGGGGCAGAAGAAATGTCAGCAAAGTGAGAAACAGCAAAGTCATTTGTTACTCCCGGGGTGGGGGGAGAGGCATGAACAAAAAATTGCAAGCAAGAGAATCCCTTACATCTCTCTCTTTATTTCTACATCTACAAAGTGTGTGAATGGTGCTATTTACACATATATTTTACACTTACGTGGTGAGAATCAGCTAGGTATGCCTGTGCTCTGCCTTGAGCACTCAGTAAATGCTCTGATTAGCAATGTCTCATGTAACAGCTGTGCCAAACTGGGAGAAACCTTAATGTCTAAAAGGCATCTGCCCTTCTCTGTAAACTCATGCAAACTTGGTAATGTTCAGCAGGGTGCTTCAAATATAGATGCAAAATGTTCCAATCATTCATACTTGTACTAGCAGTACTGCAAAAACAGCTGTCTCTGGACCTGAATTCAAGGGGGAAAATGTTTCATGTGAAAACCTTGTATGTGTCACTTCATTCTGAATCCAGTTGGATGCCACAGCCCTGTGTAGGTCTGTTAATACCCAACTACTCATGGCAAATGAAAGCATCAGGTACAGGAGCATTACAAGGTGCTCTGCATTTCTGCAGACAGACCTGTGGAAGCTACTGATACTAAGGTAGTATTTCCTGTCTTTGCCCATTCTGTAGACCTCTTAAGAACTCTAGTTACGTCACACTCTTCATTCCTATATAAAAATAAATATAATCTCCCCTTCTGCTAATGTGCTTTTTTTTTCCCCTGCCACATGTGTTCCAGCCGTTGTATCTGACAAAAGCCAAACTCTGGTTCAGAGTAAGTCCTTTTTTCCGCATGTATGTGCATGCACATATATACATCTGCTCATACCTCCTCTGTCTACTTTTAAATGCAAACTCTCGAGTGCTCTGGAGTAAGAAGTTATGAGAATGAAGGAAGGACAACTTGTTCACCTCTCTGCCCTTTTTAATACTGCTGGTGTTTATTTTTGTCACATTGGCCTTGATGTGATATTCAGCTGACATGACTCTGTTTCCGAACAGCAGTCTCAAATGTAGTGAAACTTGAACTGAAACCTCAAAAAGTTGCATAATACTTACTGTTCAAAGAAAGCTAACTCTTCTGATGGTTTTCTTTTCAACTGGATTAGCTAGAAATAATCCTGATGTATCCTGCTTCAACAATAGAGAGTGTAAAGTGGAAGAGTGCTTTTAGCAGAGCTGAGAAGTTTGGTTTAAAATAGCTGAGTATGGGGAGGCACAGTATCTTATTTTAGCCAAATGTTAGGGTGGCTCAAGCACTTTACAAGTGTTTTTCCAATTTTCAGGTTTCTCCTAATTCCAGCTTCTGCTCAGTCTAAATTTACTTGCCGTTTTATTTAGGAAGAGGTGAAGAATATAATCTGCTGGATTTTGTTTAAAATCTGCAGGTGTCTGATTTCCTACAGTTTCCTGCGAATTCCAACGGCAAGCTCAGGGGTGACCCCGTTCCCCCAGTGCAGCAGCAGCGCGGTGCAAGCGCAGGCTGGCAGCGAGAGGGGTGCAGGAAACTGGAGCCTGGGAACACGGCACATACGTCCTCTCACACCGTGCCAGAGTATCCAGCCTGCCTGGGCAGCCCCTCTTCGCCTACCTTCTCTCTTTCCTGCAGCCGCAGCAAAGGTGAACCCGATCTCACTTCAGATGAGTTACGTTGTATTTGTCGCAGAATCTGTGAGTGGAAAATTATGGTGTTGGAAGTTTTATAGAAGGAAAATGAAGGAGGAAATTATAATACCTGTTTCCTTTCAGTAGAAGGCAGTGAAGTAACTAGTCCTTTACTTGTGACCGTTTGACCAGGAATCGCTCTGCTCGATGTAAACAGTAAATGTAGTAAGTTCCCAAAGTGTAGGCAGAGGCGATCCTCCAAAACTGTATGTCTGGAGTAACTCGGGTTATACCATTAGTTACAATAACTAACAAAGAAATAGTATTTTTTTAATCCAGTAACTGTGTTTGCCTGGGCATGTCTTAGTGATCACACCTGATATGGTCTGGTATCAGGTGATATTGAGTGCTTGGATAAACAACGAACAAGGAATATGAAGTATTGCAGGCAGAAGCCGGAATGATAGGTCAAGTATTTGGCAAATGATGGACCACCAAACTGCAGC